TCTTGATCCAGACCGTGATTGAGGAGAGTTTGCGTCCTTGCAGGTGCCAGATTCACGATTTGACGGTTCTTCGTCGGCGCTTGAGGGAAAATTTGGCCTTTGCGCCCGCGCAAATTAGGAATCTTGGCTGCTCAGCCCAAACACTCATGACTATAGCACTTTGTTGTTTCTTTTACGACGAGCTTCTTCTCACGTGCAGTTTGACTACTGCAAGCTCGGTGCGACAACAGACTGCGTTGGATCTTCGTAGATGGTTTCGCAGGGTATTTTGGGCGTCACCATGCACGTTGCGGTCAGCATGCGGTGCGACGATGACCGGGCGCAGACAAGCCTGTGCTGACGTGCGAACAATCAGTGAATCGTGAATTTTGAAGACTTGTCTGCGCCTTGGCAGCTGCAGGGAGTTGCTGCTTGGGGTTCTAGATAGCCAGCATGCGAGTCAAGAGACAAGAGTCAAGAGTGCTTGATCGACATCCGACCTTTTTGCCTTTTCCCAAACTGCCTGCCCGCTTCCATAACCCGAAGCATCTGTGGATTAGCGCATAAGGAATTGGTGACTTCTCGGTGTCAATAAATGGATGGTAAAGGCTTATACGTGTTCAGAAGCCTTGACCGTGAGGTTTGTGGACGCGCGCCATCTTGACCAGGCGGTGCATGGGACCGACAAAGGAGAGCACCACAGGCGACCGCGCGTGTCGACTCACCGAAGTGCTGACTACAAAGACAGACAAGCCGCCCCCCCAATCTTCCCTGCCGTTTCGCGATGGTCTCATGCCCCGCTAAAGGCAGCTGTTCGCCCCGCTCTGGGCTGCACAGGCGCGCTCGTCTGCGCTCCAGTGGTTTGTCGCAATGACAGTCCGATCGGCTCAGGAGCTGAATGAAGCGTGCTAAAAGCACACGAGCGAGAATAGTTGTGACAATGAAGGACTTGTCTTCCGCGGAGCCGGGGAGCGGGGGAGGACCTCGTCCAGCATTTCCGGTCGGCTGCGACCTACATGATGCAAGGTACGGTCTAGACCGGTAAACGCACTTGTCCACAGCACACCCATGCCGCTTGTGATATGATGAGTTTTTTTTGCTAAGGTGCGCAGAGCTGGCGGCCCGCGCTCCACTGATACCACCAAATTGGGGCGCGCTTGATATCTCGCCACCCGGAACGGGTGAATTGTTTCCCGGTCGCGCTCACGTTGGTCAAGGGTACATGACTACATGCGATGCGCATGAGATGAGACGTTGCTTGTGGTGACGTGTCGATTGAGCAAAGTGTAGGTGCAAGATGGCCGTTGCCGCGAGTGTGAGTGAGTGCTGATCTACGTTCGCTTGAGGATCCGCCAGACGAACGTGCCGCGGTATGTCAGCCGTCGCATGGCACCCGCGGCTTGCACGGGCACCCCTTTTCGCGCCACAGAGGTCCCAGACGACATCCATAGAGACTTGAGCGGAGGTATGGAAAGGCTGCGTGGACATGACATCTGCACTTATCGAACAGTCTTACCATCACAACGCGTCCGCACGAATGGGCCGAAGGACTTTGATGTCGACGGCAAGTTGGGCAGCGAAGATGCTCGTCTCCCAGAACTTCGATGGACTGCCCAAATGACTGGACACTCGAGCAACACGGCTCTTATTGAAATGCTCTCTGAAACGGCCCCGCAAAGGTCACGCGAGACTTGTCGCGCCAATTTAAGCGAGTCGTGGACCTGCTCCGAGTCTGAGTGGGTCGCTCTTGAAAGCCAAGAGGTGAGTCTGAGTGTGACCTTATCAAACCCAACTTCTTGATGCTCTTGTGCACGTACTCATGACTCTGCTGGTGTTGAAAATACCTGCCTAGTTAAAGTCTCAGATACCTATTCAAGATTAATCACGATACTCGATCCGGAATTCTAATCACATTCAAAGATTCAAAATTCAATCAAGTCGCGACTCATAATTAATGAATATCTTGCCAGTTCAAGAAATCTTGAGTGAATGTGAATCAAGTGAATCTGAACCTCAAGATTACGTATCTGATTGTGTGTCACGTGCATCACGCATTGCACCACAGCCGGATGCGCGGGTACAACGTGTGGGGGGGGGGGGGGGGGTC